CAATACGCCGTAACTGAAGTGTGTTTGGAAGCGTCACGTAGGAAGGATCCCTGTTTCTTTGTATTTTATGACTGACGAGTAAACATGTTCATCGCAAATGTTTCTTTTTACAAGCTTTTATTTAACTTGCAATGTGCGTATGTAGGTTGTCCGCGTCAAATCTTGCATGCCATTTTTCGACCACCTCTGGGTATCCGATTGAGCTGAAATTTGGCATACTTATGTACGTCCCGTGACAATGCAATATTATGATATTATCAGGATTTGAAACTCGATAGAACAAAAATACGACAATAAAAATAGATAAACGTGTACACCTATAGTGTTTCCTATTATCTGCGTGTCCCCTTTCTGTGGTGCTTCGTAGCCTACCCACTCTTGTCTACCAAGCGTGGCACATGTATGTGTTTATGAGTGTAGTCTCTATATTGCACCGCTTACTTAATGTCAATAATATAAATAGTCTAAATTATGTTGATGGTGTAAATAATGTAAAAAGTGTAATAAAGTTAATGGTCTAAACAATAAAAATGCTACGTGCTAAATTTTGGAAATAAAAGTATAAAATAAAAAATAGAAATAAAAGAACATTTTTAAAAACAAGCTTTTATTTAAAAAAAACGTGAACTAAAAGGGAAAAGATAAAATTGAGTGACATGCCTTATATATGTATATACATTAATATAGTAGATAAATTCTAGGTTCGGGGTGACCCCTCCCTTGGNTAAAAAGAAAAAAATTAAATTAAGTGACATGTTTTAGATATGTATATAAATGAATATAGTAGATAAATTCTATGTTCGGAGTGACCCCTTCCTTGGTAATTTTAAAAGCTTGAGGCACTGATGTACGCTATTCGTTATGCAGGTTCACTATACACTAACAGTGCCTCAAGTTTTTAAAATTACTAAGGGAGGGGTCACTCCGACCCTAGAATTTATCTACTACTTATATTAATGTATATACATATCTAAGACATGTCACTTAATTTTATTTTTTCCTTTTTAGGTCACGTTTTTTTAAAAAAGGTTGTTTTTAAAAATGTTTTTTTATTTTTATGTTTTAAGTCACTTCTATGCTCGCGAACGGTTAATTTGGAAATTCGAAAAGATTAGAAGCGTTCGAAATGTGATGCCACAGGTGAATAATAAGAATACCGTGGATAGCGAAAGTTAGAAATGAAGAGGTATTAGAATGAACAGGAGAACAGAGGACTCTATGGAAGTCTATAAGTAACAGGCGAGATAGATTGGTAGGACATCTTCTCAGGCATGGATGTCTAGTCAGAGACATATTAGAGGCAGAAACAGGAATTAGGAGGAGTAGAGGATGTGGGCTGTTCTAGTTTTGGGGAAATGCGCAGTTTAGCTTAGAATAGGAGAGTGGAGGTGCGTGTCCAACCAGTCTTAAGATTGACGATCTTGTGGAGATGATCATGATGTTCCGGTAGATCGAATTGACATACTGCTTATCAAGGTTTTCAAGGAAGTAGTATTATGCATCGCAATCTTTATAATGTGCAAGCATTTAGTTTTGTGTGCTAGTTGGAATTGTTAGGTATGTGGTTAGTTAGCAGGATTATCTACAACAAGATTGATACCATATAATCCCAATTTTGAAAACAAAGAATTACGACACATGCATGGAACCAAAGTCAATCTCCTTCTCAAAAACCCTCATCAGCAGAGCTTCAATTCGATTTACTGGTTCACTAAAACAGAGGTCCTATTTTCTTGATACTTCCGAGCATGTGATTCAATAAGATCTGACCAGAGCAAACTTGTGCGAATATTAAACCCACTGATTCAAATAGACGAGCGTCCCACTCCTCCATTTCTAGTGTGCAGTCATGAGATAAAAAATTATCCGGAGACCACTCGGGAGTTACGTTTCTGAATTCCCGTTCTACTAGAATGTTTTCATATAAAACTAGTAGCCCATTTGATTGATGTGTGAATGAGAAGGTTTCTTATATACTTACTAACAACAATAAATTTACTTAAAACTAGAGAATAACTAACAAAGAGGGTGGAGTCTAATTGAAACATATCATGGTGGTGGGTAAATGAAGGAATTTCCTGAATGTCGTCATAGACGAGAGGGTGTTCAGTTCAACTAGATACAGAAAAGTTCTGAAAACAGGTATGAATGAGCAAACAATGAACCAGGTAATAGTGACATTTTGTCTGTATGACAAATGGAATATTCATGAAATATTGTAAAACCATATAATAAAAGAAAGGAATTGTTAGCGCGGAAAGCTCGTTTTGCATGCTATGAAATAGGGAAGAAATGGCCTCTTTTCAGCCGTGTTTTAGTCGGGAGGAAATGAAATTAGTCTTTTGAGCGCATGCGCTCAAGTTTATGGGCATGCGCAGAAATCAGTTGTTCAATGACAATGTCTTTCTAACCTCTAAATCATTTACTCCTATTTCGCCAACTATCAATTTAATGACGAGCTTTTCGCACAAACATGACAAAAAATAGTATACGTACCACTGTCTGAAAAGTAGATACTTCAGACTACGTGTTTGCCGCAACTAACACGTAGTCTGAAATATTCACTTTTCAGACCTCGATACGTAATGTACTATTATGACCTAAAATGTTTGAAGAAATGTTATAAAGTTGAATTTAACAAAGGAACAAAGAAATTTGAAATGTAATGAAAGTAATTAACAATGCTAAATCTAACTAAACGGAAAAGTTCGAATTAAAATAATTGTAAAAAATATAGATAATTATTATTAGCACTAAACACTAGTATTTATCATATTGTAGCGAGCAAGAGGGTGTTTGTGTGCGATCGTGCATATATGTGTGTGTGAGCGGCTTATCGATTCGCCGAGTAGCCGCGGGGCCTTTCTTCATGTGCGCCGAATCTGTAAACGTGTGTGTCGTATCTGCGTTCCGGGAAAGCAATTAAACAGTTCAAAGACGAGACTTTTTCGGACGGCTCGAGAAAGTTCCAGAAAGGCCACAAAAGAGTATATAAAGAAAGAAACGATCGCTGAGATGCATCTTTGTGAATTTCAAATCTATTTTACTATATTATATAATAAAGTTTTTATTTTTTCCAATCTCGCCTTTCTTATCATTTTAATGCCTTACGCCTGGTTACTACAAGATAACAAAACATATTATAATCAGATAATTAAAATAAATAATTAACAAAAGACCTAAAGTAACAATTTACCTCGTGACAATATGCAATACACATAGATACAATACATCAGCATATGCAAACTTGCATATATACTTGAATCTACTGAATACGTGTAATGGGTATAATTATACCCAGCAAGTTCGTACGGAAGAATGCAACTTTAAAGGACCATATCTCAAAGAGATAAGCTTTTACGATTTAGAGCCCATTGAGATTTTTGCACTACACGTCAAGAACTACCAAAATCCAAAGATTTAAAGAGTTTGTCAGAGCGCCATTTTCCATTAGGACCTAGCGGGGTTTTTTGTATGTACCGAGCGGCATGGCCTAGAGGTCTAGACCATTGCTTAGCATTCGGGAGGACGCCGGTTCGATTCCGGGTCCGTCTGCCTTGGTCCAAGTTTTTCTGTGGTTTCCTTGGATCACTTAGGCAAATGCTGAGGCAGTAATATTCCACAG